GGCCCAACCCTCCCTCTGTGGGTTGTGACCCCAAGAACACATGTGTGGCGTTGCCCTGCAGGACCGAGGCAAAGGTTAATGCCAGGCCAGGCTGAGCCCCACGTTCATGAGGATGCCCTGCTCCCCCAGGGGTGGCCAGGTCACAGCCAAAGCCTATCCACGAGGATGCTGAGGATTCTCCATCTCAGGCTCTGCCAATCCCTGGCCACCCCACCTCCATCCCACCCTCCAGCAGGGACATCAAGTCCCCACCTCAGTGCACAGCCCAGGGGGAGACCGGCCTAAGCAGACAGGTGAACTGACCCGTGACTGATCGGGCGTGGCCCAGGAATGTCCTGCAGGGAGCTCCTGCTTCTCAGCACTTTATTGATGAAGCTTAGTGTAGGAATCAGGGAGCCCAGGGATGCTGCCTTCGGGGCCACCTAAGGCTTGATTAAAAGTCTCCAAGCCTCAGGTAGAGCGCTTGCCTAGCACGTGTGAGGCCCTGGGTTCAAYACTCAGCACCACATTAAAACAAACAAATAAATAAAATAAAGGTGTTATGTTCAACTACAGCTAAAAAAAAGTCTCCAAGCTGCAAACGTTAAAGCCAGGATCTCCAATTGAGAGTGGGAGATTCTTGTGCCCTCTCAGCTTTTGAACGCTGGCCCTGGAATACATTCCAAACACCCATGGGAAGGAAGGAGGGCCCCACGCGTGTTCTCAGGCCTTCCCAGCTAAGAGAGCTGCCTGCTTGGAAGTCCTCCTGGGGTTTGAGTCAGATCATGTCGAGTCTGCTCTGGGGTTACGGAAGTCCTTTGTGACCCAAAAGAAAAATATCACCTTCCTAGTGTTGTAGGGACAGACAGGCAGGGCACCAAGACAGCAGGAGACAGTTTTATTTGGCTGCATCCAGGTCCAGAGGGCACAGCTTTTGCTGTAATCAATTAACCCCCTGAACCCTGAGTTCAGGGAGTTTCAGAGTTTTATACCCAGCGTGTAAGGGGAGGGGCTCAGAAGTTCAGTCTGCAGAAGTTCACATAAAAACAGCTTTTTCTCTCACTGTTCTGGGCAAGTTAACCCTTTAAGGACCACAGCTGAGAAGGGGAGAGCTTCTTCTCCCCTCTCTTTCCTCCCCTGCCAGCTGTTACCATGGGGCCCAGTTGTAACTTATCTTAGAAATGTAGACATCTCTGTGAAGCCCAGAGGCCTTGTTTGCACATTTCTACAAACTACTATATTGGATACATGTTTGTGAAAAGCTAGTAAGGGGTGTCCAGCACCTGGAGTGCAGGTATCTTCCAGGCCAGTGGCCAGGTAAACAGGGCGACATGAAAACAGGAAGTTCATCCACACTGGACTCTTTTGCAGAGACTCTTTTGCTGACAGTCCTAAAATCAGCCATGGTGAAGATTTCTGGAGAAGCCCAGTTAAGACTTTTCTGTGGAGAAAGGGGGTGCCACTTCACCAGAACAATGGCGATAGTTTGCAAATGGTCCACTATCAACTGTGTCCATGCCAGACTAAATTTGGCCCAAGAAGGCCTCTGTACTCGGGCACTTTGTCAGAACTGTGGCCTGGCTCAACAAACCCCGGGCAGCCAGGTAGGGCGAGCTCTGCTACGGGCACCCAACCCCAGCAGCCTGTCACAGGTGGCCCACACTTCCAATCAGGCCCAGAAGCCCCTCGTGGGTCCAGAAATGCTTCCAGAACTCTGAACTCTCCTGGTTCTGAGGGCCGCCTGGTTCTAGAAGCTGTGGAAGGGCCACTACCACCTGCATAACTGCACSGGGTGTAACTTTGCCTTTTAACGCTTAATGTGAGCCGGGCTCGGGGGAGTGCTCCTGTGGTCTGAGCCACTCAGGAGGCTAAGGCAGGAGGACCCCTTGAGCCAGAGTTCAAGGCCAGCCCAGCCAGCACAAACCACAAAACAGCTCACAAGCACACGGCACCCCTCACCCCTCTCCCGCGCCACGTCACCACTGGCCGAGCCCAAGGCCGGCTCTCCACCCCCCGCAGGGCGCCCTCCAGCCCTGGTTCACTGAGAAGTCAGTTCCTCCTTCCACCCTCAGCAGGAGGAGGGAGAGGGCGCCGGGCGACTCGGTGAAGGGGAAGCGGAAACGGGAGAAGGTGAGGAGTGAAGGCGGAGACCAGGCAGAGAGAGACACAGAGTTTACTGTCAGAGCTGAGGGACAAAGGCCACCTCTCTGTGGGAGACAGGGGCATGGCAGCTTGAGTTCTGGGACTTTAGGGGGAGGCTCAGGAGTCAGAGGGGGGGTCCTAATGAGGGTGATCAGGGGTTGGGTTGGGGTGAGGGAGTGCTGAGCCTTTCTCAGAAACGCCCTTCAGAGGGAAAGCGAAACCTTTTCCTTAAAATGGCAGCTGTCACTTAAGATGGCCATCCAGATGCTAAGCAGGGACCTTATATTCCCCCTTTTTTTTGTTTTTATTGGGCCCCTTAGGGAACAGGGACAGAGGTCAATCTTCTATAACTGCTTCCTGCTGGAAAGGGGTGTTTGAATCCCTCATTAGGGGTGCAGGATGTCACTGGAATCGTGATGGAGGTCGAGTGGTGGTGGAATACTGTCCCCGGTTCCCCAGTTCTGGGTGAGGGATTGGTATTCCTGTAAMAAAAGCTGGTTTACAGTTTGGTTGGAGATGATTTGGACTGGTCTTGAGCCAATCTARTGATGCAGGGGACAAGCATTAACAGAAGGCCTGTGACAAGGAGAGGGGTCAGGAGAGGAAGTGCCCACTGGAGAAGGGGTGATTGGCGGCCACCTTCAGCAGAGGAGAGCTGTTGTTTCCGACCTTCAAGGTCCTGTTGGAGTTGTTTATCTGTCCTTTGCTCTACCAGATTGATTGACACCAAACAGCATTCCTCCTGTAGGGACAAAGTCCGCCTTTTTTGGCCATGAAAAGATCAAGGCCCCTTGGATTCTGCAGAAYYACAGTGGCTGAAGAATCGAGCTGGGACTGGGTGGTTAGTATGGTTTGAGCAAGTTGCTGTGAGTCCCTAGAAATTGGACTGGTAACTCCTGGTGCGTGCAGAGGGAGGGAGGAGGGCAAAAATGAAAAGGGAAGGGTGGTCCCCACGGTTCTGCAGTGTCCCGTGGTCCTCAGAGACCGAAGGAAGACCGGGGGTTCCGGCCTTGGAGAAAGGCAGCTTGAGAGGGCCTGTGGGTGTCTCTGTACAAAAGGGCAGAGAAACCATTTTAAGTGGGAGTTATGAACCCAATGTGGGAGGCCCTCAAGGCGGGCCGCCAAGGGAGTGGTAAGAATGACCGATAAGGTCCAGTCCACTTTGCAGAGAGTTGAGGGGAGGTGCCTGCTGGGGATTAAAGGTACCAGGGCGCCAGGTACAGAGTGGGAAAGGAAGAGGCAGAAYTCGGCTTGGCCAGAACAGCATCACTGTGTTGCCAAAGAAGGTTCCTAATGTGTGCAAGAAGGGGCCAGAAAAGATGAGGAGCAAGGGGCAGCRGAGAATCAGAGGGGCTGAGCTGAGCAGGGAGGTGGGCGTCCATATAGGAGTCAAAGGGGAGACGTGGAGTGGCTTCCTTGGGAAGGCTTGAGACCTAAGAAGAGCCCAGGGAAGGGTTTAGTCCAATCTAAATGTAATCAAGGGATAGTTTAGTGAGAATGTTCTTCAAGGTCCACCTTGCCAGAGGACTGGGGATGCCAGGGGACATGAAAATGCCAGGAGATGTTGAGTGCCTTAGCTACAGACCGTGAAACATGGGGAGTAAATTCAGGACCATTGAGACTGGAGCGAGGAGGGGAGGCCGCATTGGCCTGGATGTGGTGGGGTGCCCGGCATTCCTGTCTCCTGTGCCCTGCACACCAGGGGGTAGACCCACAGCCTTGGTCTCCAAGGTTGCTCCGAGCAGGGATGGGCCTTCCACTGTGTCCCACCCCAGGGGCAGTGTCCAGTTGCTCCTCTGCTTGCCACTGGGTCGACTGGGCCCTGATGTGCTGAATGTCCCATATCCCCGTCACCTCCTCACCCAGCACCTCGCCACAGCCATACTTCATTGCTAGTCACAAACTCAGGACTCTGACTGCCTTCTAACCCTTCCCTTGCCATCTGGCCTTTCATGGAGAACGTCCCCCTCCAACTCCGCCAGGACAAAAACTTGCATCTGTCCCTGTAGGCATCRGTTTTCAGAACAAGTCGGCTCCTAGCACCCTCTGGGGAAAACAGTTTACTAATTGATTAAAAAAAATAAACACGGGAACGAGGAAGGAGAGGTCTGTGAAGCAGGCAAGTGGGACGGAGAGAGCAAGGACAGCATCTGGGGTCCCTGCCTCTTTGAAGGTACAAAGGCAGGTACCCTCTGCAAGGAAGTGACATTAGTGTGAGATCCCAGTGAAGGGAGGAGGTGGTCCAGAGAGGCTTCCAGAAAAGAGACTGTGCAGAGGTGTGCCTCGGAGCCGCCCAGGAGCTCCAGGCTAGCAGGGAGGAAGGGAGTGGAGCAGGAGGGCGGGAGTCAGAGCTGCCCCAGCAGCACCACAGAGCCAGCTCACCCCAGGGAATTTAAACTGGGAAGTGTCCTTAAGACTGTGCTGCAGGCCTGTTCCAAAGCCCCAGGAGGTTGTGAGCAGGGTGTGGGCAGGGTAAGGGCAGGGTCTCAGCAGGGCATGGGCAGGGAGTGGGCAGGGTCTCAGCAGGGCGGGCAGGGAGTGGGCAGGGTCTGAGCAGGGCGTGGGCAGGGAGTGGGCAGGGTCTGAGCAGGGCGTGGGCCAGGCATGGGCAGGGTCTCAGCAGGGCGTGGGCAGGGTGTGAGCAGACCCAGATCTGAGGCTCATTACTGAAAGGCAACTCAGCTGACAGATCAGCCACAAAAGGAGCCAGCATGACCCACCTAAAGGCCCTTCCCGACAGAGACACCACAGGAACTCGCTTTTGTGTCTTGAAGACACACATGGTGTACGTAAACATGCACACGCGCAGGCCAGCACACATGCGTGGAGTCTGCTCTGCCGGCAGCCAGGAGGGATGAGCAGCAACCCCTGCGTACCAGTGCGGCCTATTGATGGTCATAGGTGTCAGGTCCGTGGTGGCCACCTAGAACAAAGCAGCCCGTGGGGGGAAAGGAACATCAATCAGGCGCCATCGGAAACACCTGACAATCCGCGAGGTCTCCTGACTAACACCTGTCAATCAGCAGGACCCAATCCTGGAGTTCAGCCAACTCCCCTGACCAACTCCAACGAGACAAGGGACCCTAAAAACACCTTTTCCTGACCCAAGCCCTTCCCTTCCTGCAGTGAGCCCCGTAAAAGTCCAGTCCGGTCAAGCTCCCACGCGGTTTCTCCTCAGACCCTTCCCCTGTCCACTCTGTGGGTCTGATCGAGTTCTGCCGGGGTGGGGATGGGGTGGGGGGGTGATATCTCAATAAAATCTCCTTCAGCGTTCAGCAGCCTTTTTAAATCTGCCTCCTTTGGTCGCTGCTCACCTCACCTGATCTTACAACAGGTGCCCCTGCCAAGGCCAGACGGGGCCTCGCAGGGCTACCTGGGCACACTCAGAGCTGACTTCACGAGGTTCTGTTGTCACGAGGATCAGATGGGTCAAGACAGGCAAATGGCATTCGGAGTGCAGGAGAATTYAAAATGTATTTTACACCCCGTCGGCCCAGGAGAGATCAGACTTCAGATTCTGAGCCCCCATCACCGGTTTCTCACCATATTTATAGGCTATCTGGTGCCTAGTCTACAGGATAGAAGACCATGCATTCTAGGAAGCGGCTTTACAGAAAGGAGTGTGATAAGGGGAAGAACTRCCCCCCACCCAGGCCTTCCATAACCCTCAACAGGCGAGTAGTTAGATTCCCAGAGGTAGTTATTTACAATCCAAAAGGGACTCTCCCTTTCCAAGGCACTACCCCTCAGGACAGTGTTCTTACACAGTTTGTTTACCTCCAAGCCTGTTTGGTCACCCATTACACTGTGAACCCAGAGCTGTCTTAAAATGTAAAAAGTGTATTTAAAAACCGAAGGTAGGCTGGGTGTGGCCACTAGTAGAGCACATGCTTAGCCTGCAAGAGGCCTGGGCTCCCATCCCAGCACCCAAAACAAAACAAAAACAGAAAGGAAAGTTAGCTGAGCCCTGGGCAGGAGTGAGTGGAGCCCCAGGTGGCACTGGTGACGGTGACGGTGACAGTGAGTCCTTGCTTCCCCAATGCTGAAGTATAACCCCAGAGAAGCACGCTGCGGCAGGTGTGAGGTGGAAAGTGGACAGCTTTATAAAGGACAGCAGAGACGACGTCTCCCGCGGGAAGAAGGGGACCCGAATCCGTGGAAGGGAGGTCTTTCAGTCCTCCCACACTCCTGTCCTGTGTTCCCTCTGTCCTGCAGTGACAGAATGAGGTGGGAAGGCCAAAGGTGGGAGTTAGGAAGGGCCTGGGGAGGTCTGATCAGCACCTCCCTGTTTGCTGGGAGCTGCTTCATTAACAGTTCCTTAGGATGGGTTCGGGCCTTAGGGACATGAACATTCAATTTCCCCAGGTGCTGTTCTGGTTTCTGGACCCCATTCTGGATAATGGTCTCCATTTTCTTTATCTCACTGGATATTAGACCTGACTTACCTAACTACACTAACTACCTATCTGTAAGTCTGGCTTCAGCGGCCTCCTGGTCGTGGTGTGTGGACAGACAGAGGTGAGGGACGCAGGGGAGCAGCCAGAGATGAAGAAGGAACACTGGTGGTGAGGCTGGCCTGGGCGGCGGGACCCCTTTAGACCCTGGAGGAGGGTGGCCACAGCAAGTGGAATTTGAAGCCATGCACTTGGGAGAGGTGCCCAGGATGAATGCAGACGGAGGGAGGCCCGTGGATGTCTCTACCAGAGGTGGGAGGCCACTGTGCCCAGCACTTCCCAGGACTGGCCCATGACTGACAGACACCGAGGCTTCCTTGGAGATGCAGGACCCTGACCAGAGCAAGAGGAGGGATGCGGGCCTGCGGGAGGCAGCCCTGCTGGGGCGTGGGGAGCCAGGCCAGGGCAGGAGAGAGGAGGGCTGATGTCCCTGGGAAGAAGAGGGTGCCCAGAGATGGCCCCGTGGGACAGGCCACCTGACCACAGGAAGGGCTGGAGACCACTGATGGCCAAAGGGGACTGAGAGGCTGCCCGGCCCAGGGAGAACGGAGGGCGAGGGATCGAGACTGAGGGTGCTCAGGCTGGTGTGGAGGCGGGCGGCAGGAAGGAGCTGGGAGTCAGAGGGTGATTAAATGAGGACCTCAACAACCCTGGCTGTGTGAGGCGTAGGCACCCCCACCCCTCGGCAGCAGCACTCGGCAGGAGGGCAGGATCCTGCAGGCACCCTGGGGGGAGGCCCAGGAAGGACAGGATGGCTGGGGAGGGCTGCCAGATGGCATGATGACTGCGGGTGGTAGCTTCTGGGGCCCTAAGTGGCACCGCTGTCCCCTGGAGCTGCAGGCCCTGTACCCCTGGTGCCCACCCGGGCTGCCCCCGACCCCAGCCCTTCTGATAGGGCCAGAATTTAAGAAGGACATTTAAACCAACACTTGTATTTTTTGTGGCACTTCCTGGAGACCATTTCCTGAACTGAGAGTGACTGTCACACTAACACTACCCCATTAGCTTTGTCCCTGTACTTGAACCCAGACCTCACATTGTTCTCTCCACTGAGGTCAGAGGCTGAGCTGATTGCCCAGATCCTGTGGGGTGCAGCGGGAGCCAGGTCTGCCTGAGGCCCTCCTCCAGCACAGGCCTGGCCTGTGGCTGGCCTATGGCTGGCCTGTGGCTGGATAGGATCTGTGGCTCAGACAGGGCCACCAGGACAGGGCAAGGCAACAGCATCAGAGAGGAAGGGCCCTTCAGGCATCTGGGAACGTGTCTTCCCCAAAGACAGCCGGGCTCCCTCCTGCAGCACAGGACGACACCACAGACCCAGGAACTGGTCCTGGTCTCCTGTGATGCCTCCTGGGTACTGGGAGAGACAACATATCTGTTTGTTTCTGGGGCTCCCCTGCAGGAGGAGCACACCAGGGCTGGCTGTCACTAGCATCACCCTGTCCTCCAGGGTAAAGTAAAGGGATAGAATGTCTCCACTCAGGGCCCCGGGTGCAGGTACAGGGGACCTGCCCCGAGGCCTTAGTGTGGGGGGCTGTCCTGGGAGGCTGGGCAGCCCGCCTCCCTCAGTGCCCTCCATTTGCCATGCAGGGGCCTGGGGAGACCCTGGAACAAGACACCCTTGTGAGCCATAACCATCTGCAGCAGTGCTTCAGGCCTGGGTCTTCAGGCCTGCTAGACATCACCGCCGGCAGGTGGACCCTGCCAGCTCTCCCTGGAAGTCACCTTAGGCCGGGGGCCACCCCAGTTCACCTCCCTGTGTGTGAGCCACTCCCCTCTCTCCAGTGCTGCATCCTGAGATGCTCTGGAAACTGGACCCCGGCTGTGCTCACCCACATGGTGGCCACACCACACTCACCCTGAGAGCCGGCCATAGAGCTCAGGATGCCATTGCGTCTTTATAGACTCATCAGGCTCCATCCCAACTGACCCAGGGTGGCTGAACTTGTGATCCTTCATGCTTCCTGTGGTGCAGAGGCCTGAGTGTGGCTCCTGGTAGGGCTGAGGTGGGGGGATGGTCTGTGAGGTCCTTCCTCAAGAACAGACCAGGGCCAGGACCCAGGGCCATTCAGGTCAGAGCAGGGAGAGAAAGGAGGGAGACAGCTCACGCTCTCAGGACCTGGAGGGCCCTTCTTTCCTCCCAGTGGAGGGACAGGCCCCAGGGGGGTGGCCTACCCAGTGCCCCTGCACAGGGTCAGGCTCCAGGCGGGGGAAGAAGCATCTTCTCACTCAGAAAACACATTCTGATCATTCTTTGTCCTCCCGCCCCCTCCCCTTCCTCCTCTCCCCAGCCTGCCCCTCTCTCCGTCTCTTTCTGTCTCTGTCTATCTCTGTCTCGTACCCAGTGCAGCACTGTGGGAGAAGCACTCTGTTTCCCTGTCCTCTGAGCATTGAGAGGACAGGCGTGTGTTTGTCACCGTGACTCACTCTGGTGGCTGCCGGGTGCTGGTGGAGTCTGTGCTAAGCTCCAGGGCAAGGCTGACGCAGGAGGGGGTGTGGCTGCCTGGTTATTTGAGGGATGTCCAGCGTGGGCAGCACTGCCCAGCTGTCAACACTGATCCCTGAGCTGCCCTGACAGGTGCCGTGGTGGGGACATGTGGGCATGGAGTGCCTCTTGGGGCTCAGCCTTCTTAGAAAGTAGGAAGGGGGTAAAGGGCACAGGCGAGAGGGCTCTGAGGCTGGGCTCTGCGTGGGGCCGGGGCCGGATGCCCCTCTGCTGGCTCCTGGGGGCATGAAGAGGTGTGCTGCTGGGTCCCCTGGAGGGCTCTGCCCCGCACTGCTGGGGCCTTGGCTCTCCTCGGGCTCCACCACGCTCCACATTCAAAGCGCGGCAGGGGACTCTGCCAAGGAACGGCCTCCCCAGGACTGAACCCGTGGGCACCAGAGTCGGCACTGGATTCTGCAATAGCTCCACACGGTAGCCCCGTCATGGCCACATTCATTCCCCAGCAAGTGACGCTTGGTGGGGTGGGGACACAGCCATGTCCTGGCCTGTCCCCACTGGCCTCCCTCGGACTCCCTTGGGGTGGGGGAGCACCTGCAGGCCTTCCCTGAGGAAATGTGGGATGGAGAAGGTCAGAACGTGGGTGCTCCTGGGAGGCCACGCTGTGGGAAAGGCGCCAAGGTGCCTGGCTGAGTCAGGACTTCCACGTTCTGTGCCACCTGGCCTGGATGAGCTGCAGGTTCCAACTGAGCAGGGAGGGGCGGCTGCTTGCCCAAGAGAGGGGCCCATCCCAGGCTGACGACCCAGATTCCAGAGCAGGGCGGAGCCTCCCCTGAGAGCTGGTGGTTTTCTGCCAGGGTGTGTGGAGACCTGAGCTGGGCCTCTTTCAGGAGCAGTCAGAAGAAGCCTCCGACCTCTGGTTGGATCTGGCTACTAAAATCCAAACATGAATGAAAATAACACTTACATGAATCTGATGCTCAGGCCCCAGCTCAAGCCCTCGTCCCCTGGGGCAGGTGCTCCCAGGGGCTGAGCCCCTCAGCAGGTGGCGGGACCCACCTCACCCTGGGAAGGCCCTAGGCCAGGCTCTCACACACGCATCTGCAGATGCACCCCTGCCACACACACAGTGCTCACACACACACTACGTGGCTCAGGTGTGCTTTACATCAATTTGTTTATATACAGAGAACTTGAAAGACTCCAGACCAAAACAAAAACCAGAACCAGCCTGTTAGAACTGATGTGCAGGAGGCAAAAGCACCAGTTTTTGAAGATATAGAAAAATCCACCCTAAAATTCACATGGAATTTCAGGGACTGAATAATAGCCAAGACAAGCTGGGAAGAAGCACCCAGCCAAAGTACTCCTGCCTCCTGATTCCAAACCTCTGCACCGCTGCAGCCGCCAGCAGGAGCTCTCCTGACCAGAGGGCCAACGCAACAGAACAGGGCCCAGATAAACACGCCCTCGTGTGGCCAGGTGACTTCTGACAAGGGTGCCAAGGCCATCTTTGTTGAGATGGCATCTTCAACAAAGTGCTGGGGAATCTGGAGGTCCCCATGCAGAAGAATGAAGCTGGACCCTGACCTTCACCATGTTTTAAAATGTACTCACAGTCGATTAAAGACCCAAACAGGACCCAAACTATAACACTCTTAGAAGAAACAGGGCAAAGCTTCGTGACATTGGATTTGGTCATGATTACTTGATATGCCACCAAAGGTATCAGTGACAATATGAAAAAAGGTGAATTGAGCAGCATTGAAATTTGGAACTTCTATGCATTGAAGGACACGACCAACAGAGAGAAAAGGCCACTCACAGAACAGGGAGAGTACCTGTCAATCACGTGTTGATGAGAGTGACAGCCATAATACACAGAGAACTCCTAAAATTCAACAACAATTAAAAAATGCAAAATTGGGCAAAGAACTTGAATAGACAGGCATTTCTCCAAAGAAGACATAGGAACAGCCAATAAGCACATGAAAGTATGTTCAACATCACAAACCAGGGAAACGCAAATCAAAACCTCCCAGAGATACCACCTCACCCCATTAGGGTGGCTGTGATCAAAAAAATAACAGGTGTTGGCAAGTGGAGCCCTTGAGCACTGTTGGGGGGAACGCGGGATGGTGCAGCCACTATGGGAGAGAATATGGCAGGTCCTCAACTAGCTAGACGTAGAGCTACTGTGTTTCCCGGCAGTCCCACTGTTGGTCTACACCTGAGAGAATCGAAAGAGACATTCATGCGCCCACCTTTGCAGCAGTGTTAGTTATAGTAACTGAGAGCTGGAAGCCACCCAGTGTCCACGGACGGATGATGCCTGAGCATGATGCGGCCAACCTTTCCAGGTGACACTCTGTAGCCTTAAAAAGCCTGCTTCAGCCTGGCCAGCTCTCAAGGGCCGTGTGCTAAGTGACCTAAGCAGTCATCAAAGGACGAACATGGCGCAAATCCACTTAAACAAGACAGGTAGAGGAGACGGGAGTAGGATGGCAGGTGCCAGAGGCTGGGAATTGGAGGGCCGTCAGCATATAATGGGGAAAGAGCTTCAGTCTGGGAAGTTGAGAAAGTTCTGGAGATGGATGGTGGTGACAGGGGCATGCACTGTGAGTGTGCTTAACGCCCCTGACCCACGCACGACAAAGTAGTGAAGATGGCAGTTGCTGTGGCGCAAGCCCTCAGAAGGCTGGGGCAGGAGGCCAGCCCAGGCAACTCAGCAAGACCCTGACTCAAAAATAAAGGGATAGGATGTGACCCCGCAGTGAAGCGCCCCTAGTTCAATCTCTAGAAAACACACACACACACACACACACACACACATGTGTAAATGGTAAATTTATGTTACACATTATTTTATCACAATAATAAAAAGAAGCTAATGACAACTATATGAGGTCTTGCGCGGGGGGAGGCAGGCCAGGCCAGATTCAGGAGCAGGTCCAATCGAATGCCCAGTAAGTGCAGACCAAAGGGACAGGGACAGCTCATGTCCCACCTGCAGGCCTGTGTCCACCCAGCTGAGATACAGGTGCATTCTGCAGCAGAGTGGCCCTCCTACTCACCTCTGGTCCTGCATCTACCTTAAAGTAGTGCTAATATACAGCCTCGTCCACCTTGATGGGCCCTCTGGGGCCATGGAGTGTCCTCCAGTTCCAGTGTCCCATGTCAGTGCTAGGAACACTCTGTAGCTCTGTCAGTCCTGTGGAGTCCTAGAAGTGTGAAGAGGTACCCAGGACCAGGGCACCTGGGAACATGAAGCAGACAGGCCACATGGGGACCAGGGATAGCCACTGCCCCAGGCAAGGGTCCCACGAGCAAGCAGCCCAGGCCCCCGCTCCAGATATGCCTGGTCCCCAGACACCAGGGCAAGGGCCAGGTTCCGGCCTCCCTGCTCTCTGGGGGTGCCTGGACCTGCCAGGAGCAGTCAACATCCCCAGCATCTCTGCACACTCAGACTGCACTTGGCCTGCCTCTGGGGAGTTGCTTTCAGGATTTCAGTCCAGTGCTTTGGTGGGGTGGATGAGCAGCTGCTGTCTTGACAGACTGSACCCCAAGCCTGCACTGCACCTGGAGGTTCTGGCTAAGGAGGGGCCACACATACGTGATTGAAATATTTATGGTTTTTGTCAGTGGGTGAAATTGCAACAAACTTGAAGATCTCGCTTGGCTTTACTTTTGATTCTAGAATTGAGAAACACCCCATTCCATAAAACAGAAAGGGTGCTCTAATAAGCCCCGCAGAGGAGGCTGGCCCAGGGTTGACAGGAACAGAGCAGACATGGGTCCAGATGCATTCCTCATGAGGTGGGAAGGGACAGCCACATCAGGCCCCTTTCCTCGGGCAGCACTGAAGCAAAGAGTTTCATTATSTTGTGATTGAAACTGGCCTGTTTGGGAAGTGAGGCTGTTCCCTCCTGATTCTCGGAAGGTCGCAGAAAGCTTAGTTTCAGCTGGATGATGTGGAGCTTCAGCTCGGGTGACTCCATTTTTATTTTTAGCCTGGCTGYTGGGACAGAGCGGGCGCTTAGTCCAAACCAACAGCCTCCTGCAATTTTTATTTAACGTAAACTTCAATGTGTAAACATTTTTTACTGGTAGATACATGATCAAAAGAATTTTGAGGCTTCAGGGTTGGAAGACAGGTCCTCTGAGTCAGGGTGGGGGTCTGCCATACCATCCTAGATGAAGGGGTAGCCAGAACAGAAGGCCTGTTCCCAAAAGAATTGGGGACAAATGTCCATTCACCCTAGAGGGCCTGGGAGGGCGGCCACGAGTCCAAAAGAGGCTACTGTCTACATTCAATGCGCTATTCTTGGTGGCCACATGTTCCTGCTGCCCACAAGGCTGGAGGGCAACTCCGGACATGGCCAGACTGGGGAGGGGAGCGAGGCGAGTACTGTAGGAGCAGGTGACAGACTGCCACAGCCAGGCTGACTCAGGCGAGCCCTCTGACAGGTGGCCAGGCCTCCGCCTCCACTGCCCCCTGGTCCTGCCGTCCTCCAAGCAAGAGGGCTGGTCATAGGACAGGGGATGTTGGCCTGCCTGCGGCTTCTGCTGGTCCGCCACGCCCTGTCTGGCAGGGCCTGGGCTGTCCCTGTGAGAGGAAGGGACGCCTGGAAGCCGCCTCCGTGCACTGCTATTTTCAAGGACTTTAGGGTCAGCCAAGAGTCCTGCACTCTCACCCAGTCAGTGGCCATCCCTAGGCCGCTCTCAGGCCAGAGGCCAGGAGCAAGGGCCTGAGAGGTCAGGAAACGCAGGCAGATATCATCCCCCTGACCATCAGGGCTCACACTGGCTGTCCCCTGTTTGCTCAGATACCACACAGAGAACACACACAACAGCAGTACCCCCACTGTCCCCACAACACACACCTACACTGCACACACACCACACACACTATACACATACCACACACACAACACAGACAACACACCCGC